GGTTGCTGGAGCATCCGAAACATCTGCAGAATCGTCATCACTCAGTAATGAAATGCGCAGCAGAGCTCCGCTCCCGCTTGCACGTGTCAGCACTAGCTCTCTGACACACGGATGGGACGAGCTCAGCAATTTCGCCATCAACGCGTCCACCTCACAAAAGGAAACAGTAGTCATGTTTACTACCCGAAGTAGTGTGGACTGCGGCCCACTGATGACCATCGTGACAGGGTCGTAAAGACCTTTTCTGGTGACATCGATGCAATGGAAGAAGTCTCCATGCTCAATGTACCCCCTCCAGGATGTGTGTGGAAGCAGATCTGTTTTGTTGAAAGGAGAATGCGGTGAATGACCGTCGAAGCTGACAGAAAAGTAGTTGGAGTAACCATCCTTCGCTATGGTATGGTACTGCTTCTGCGCATTTGCATCCACATGAAAGGTCGACGTGAGCGTTAGGTCGGAACTGCCAGCATCATCGGGCTGATCACTTTTTCGGACCATATGACAACCGAATAAACGCATTGAAGGGTGCTGGTTGACAATCACCATCGGGGGCAGAATGTCAAAGAACCGGCCCTCGCCGTGTGCGACCGGGCGCACTAAAAAAAACATCGCATGGCCGACGCGCGTCGATCCATTTGACTCCTTTGACTCACATTGGATACACGCCCCGGCGAAGTTGGGGATAATCTCAAATTCCTCGGAAAAGAACAACTCCTCGACTTTCATGCGTAGGCCGTGGCTAAACGGAACGTAGCCAACGTTTTGACCCCCAGAGCCACTCCGCAGGCCGTCTGCGGGAAGACTACCAGCGGGAGTCCCGCTCGCGGTCGACAAAATCAGAATGTCTAATTCACACTCATTCCGGATGAATGCTTGACTACTAGCTGAAATAACCCATGCCGTAGTCTTCCGACCAGGATAGGGAATAGCTTTATAGCTCGCAGTCAGCTCGAAAAAGTAGCGTTGGGGGTATTTAAAGTGTTTCACAACAAAGTTAACGCTTGTGTCGCCGTCAGCGTGCGGCGGCGACCATAATTCCAAGTCATCGGATGATTGATAGCGAGTGGAGTTGACATCTATGTGCACTCGAACAGGGTGCGAAATGGCTGGATTCAGGTAACAAACACTTGCTGAGGCGCCCGGGTCGATCCTGAGGGATGTCACATGCGCCGACAAGGAAGAAGGGGAAAAGGAGGACGAACCAGGGAGCTCAACCACAACAGGGAAACAGGTTTGGTTCACGATAAGGGGCTGCGAAAGGTGCACAAACATCATGATACCACCGTTTCCAATGAGCTCAAAGTCTAGACTCAGAAAGTGGCTAGAGGCATCCTTTTGGGATATAAACTCCATCGCTACTCGCTGTGGAGGGGCATCCTGTGCGTAGGCAAGCTTCACGCACTCTAATGCACTCATGTCATGCCACAGAGGCTCCTTCAATGAGAGGCAACTGTCGTCATCAGTAAACGACAAGGCCAAGTTCAGCCCCTTGCAATCCAGAAGGCTTTCGGGAAGACAAGATACCACTTCACGCCCCACGATGCGCGAATCAGAGGAGCTATCTGAGGTAAATATCAGGCGGTAACTGGTTTCATTCTTCACCTGCACCAACGTACGCACCCATACGCACTGGCCGAAGTGGGAATTCACCGCGCTAACCACATGAAGTCTAAGTTCGCTTGAGAATACAAGAACCCTAGTGCTAACGCAGAATGAGTCTGGGGTCGCAAGATTGTACACAGCCGCGTCGCTCTTAGCTACCTCAACATGGACGAGGTTATCACACTCGCGTCGAATATTTAGAAGCCTATTAAGTTGCAAAGGCTCCCGCAGTTCCAAAGCCTGCTGGTCACTTACAGTGATCAAACTATCCGAGGGCATCGTAAGGAAGAGGAGCGTACCCGTTTCATTGATGATGCGCGCTGCAGGACGGCATATGTCTAGATCCTGTGCGTACTCTGCTAAATATTTCAGTAGGCGCACCTGCTCAGCTGAAATGTCGATATTTCCAGGGCTAACCGAAATATGGAGTTCGCAGAGTCCGGTGGCGCCCCCAAGCTTACCTTGAGCCTCCACCATCAAATGGTTCGTCAAAAGAGGTTTAAAGCACTGGTTAGAGAACTCGTACGCTGCCACGCCGTGGAGGCCCAGGCGTGCGTGCAACACCCCGTCCTGAGTGTGGTGGTCTCTGATAGAGCACAGAAAAACATTGGAAACGGTCAATGTGATAACCGGCACACGATTAGGTAGCAACACTTGAAAGGGGATAAGCAAGATGGAAAAGACTAGCTTCCAACGCTTGTAGGGATAAAAGGGTGTCATGTCCGTCCTCTTCCGCTGCAAGGCCGACGCAACGAACCGACCCCTCTTTGAAAGCTCCCAGCCACAATATTTGTCATGCAAATCCTGCAGCAGAGATGAAAATAGCTGGATTGCAGAGAATACGATCGGGATGAACACCTCCCCGAAATTCAGAGAACAGGAGAGAACGAAATCGTGTTCCGCCGAGAAGGATGACTCGGCCTCTACAGCAAGCCGCGTGCACACTGGCAACATGTGAGGGGAGCCACTGCACACCCAGTCCACACGAATGTTTTCAATACGAAGCTGCCTACTATTCAGTTTTGTGCTGACCAAACTGTTCACTGAAGCTTGATGCTGAGTGACAACAAAGGTGACCCCCTTTGATAGCTGCATTTGAAGGAGACCCTTCTTCATAGCAAAGTTAAGCTTAAAACGGGATGTCGTCGAGGCCTCCGCTGCCTCTGGCCGCTCCAGATACTCCAGCTCATGGAATATGCCGAATCCCTCAGAGCATTCCTCGAGTATATAAAAGGCCGTCTTATGAGACAACATCAAAAAATCGTCATGTGGATGTCTAAAGACACAATTGCGGAAGATCACCGTTGTGTCCTCGCATACGACCAGGTGGCATTCCTTCCGGCTTGTCCTAAAGGAACAACGCTCCATTACAAGAACCTTTGTCATTTTCACATGGGGAAGCCCTTCAGGGATACAAAAGTGTAGATCCCCAATCGCGTCTAGGTCAAACTCCTGTTCTGACAAGCTCTGTGATATGCACACAAAGCGGTGCAAGGAGTCGGAAGCTGAAGCAATAAAGTGTGCTAACTCTAAAGCCGCGTGGTAGATAGCCCTATCCCCCGAGGCATCCAGCCGCGCGTCCCACGAGTCTACTTGTACATCGATCAGACCAAACTCTTCTTCCGAGGAGGAAAGTTCAGTCATCACAGACGCATCATTGGTATCCAATTTTACTGTATTGTAGGTGTGCAAAGGAGGTAGGGCCGAAGTCGATGCTCGTCGAATCTCCATACCCCTAACAGTCACACACCCGACACTGAAAGATTCTTCGCCACATTCCAGACCAACAAACATGCATCCTACGGTGGCTTTAGGCGGAGGTGACACGATTGTCTGCACATCAGCTTCCCAGAAATCACAACGGGGAAGTGGCACCTCAATCTGCACAGTAGAGAAGCTAGCCACACCCTTGACGGTGCTAGCCGCCAAGCCCTCAGCAAGTTCTAAGGACACGGACAAACAAGGGACATCCAGACAAAAGGTGAGATGTGAAAGATCTGTTTTCAAAAAGATCGGCTCAATGCCCGAGCTCATAAAGACTGGCAGAAATGGTTCGCCAAATGCGTCTAGTGTACCCCCTCTGTGTTTGACTAGTTTGTCACACTCGCGGCACGCTGTCGGGAGGAAAGTGTTCAGTACCAAGCGGCCATAACTACCTTTTGACCAGCCACAATCGATAATACACTCGTGTGTATTCAAATCCATCGCTATGTCGGCAAAAGCGTTTAATAAAAGTTTATAGGTTTGTACTGAGAGGAGTTCGTCCTTGATAAAGGAAACTAGCTTAGCAAAGACCATGCCAAGGATGGCGAATGGAATAGCCCCGATTCTAGGCAAAACCAGTCGTGAAAGGTTGCAGGATAACTGGATGAAAGAAGAGCGATAGGGGCAGGTCGTGCTCGCTGAGCTTGTTAAGTCTGTAGATGAAATTACCTTACAAGACGAGATGGTTACACCGTCATTCAGTCCATGAGCTATACCCAGCAATACATACACAATATGCTGCTTGAAAACGAACCGAATGTCCTCTATTTGTACAAGCGTAATTTCCTCAATGGCTGTGTTCACATCTCTACGGTATTTGCACCTGCAACTTGCATAGCCGATCTTCATAATCTTCGCCCTCGGAAGGTCTTCGAGCATGCTAAAATGAAGCCCATTTTTTAGGGTAACATTTAAGCTCATAAGCTGCACATAGTCACAGGTGCATGACACATACTTGATGCGAACATGCATCTCTTTGTGCCCCCCGCGCGTCGCATGAATCAAGAGCACACTGGACGCAGTGAAGATCAAGTCAAAAGGCTCAAAAATGATGTGACAGCCCTTCACTAAGAGACTAGGCGAGCCGCTTACCATGTGCAAACGCGAGGTTCCAACACGGCAGCCTTCAAGAGAAGTGAAATCGATCCTTTGGTCTTGAACTGTCGGAGTGGAGACAGCCTTGACAGGCATCTGGTAATCAGGCATTCTCTCAAACAATTCCCCCACGCGACTGACCAGCTTGCAGAGGTACTCCCAAGTAGAGCGAGTGACGCGGAGGACCACCTCCGACACGACAATCGTGCCGTTCGGCTTCATACTAACATCCATCGGCGATATGAAGTAAGACCCACACGATCGAATGAAGAGCTGTCGCAGCGTGCAGCCATAATGTGACATCTCAGTCAACGAGCCCGTCCTTACAAAGGACAACTGTTCCATTACAAGTTGCATGGTATCGAGCCGACATTCAAACCGCGTGACAGCGACTATCAGCGTGTGGGATTGATTCTTCATGACAGGCGGATTCGAATAAGTCGTAGTTTTCCATGTACTAATCTCGCGGAGGCTATCCAGCATAGTCGAGGTCACCGTATACAGATCGTCAAACCGTACGAAGAGTGACACGTCAGCTAACTGTACCGTCGTAACAATATGGTTGGCATCTACCTCCTGAGACACATTAAGTAGAGGTGTCGATGTACTATTGCCAAAAGTAGCCCAGACCGATTCTTGGCGATGCCCTTGAATCTCAACCAACACACTCCCCACTTGGAAGGATCGCTCCGCATCTCGCACATCGGCAAAAATATCTGTCATTACAAAAGTGGTCGTATTGGACAGGCATAACCGCACTATGCTCCACTCAAAATGATATATTTGAAAAGTATTTGGTGACGGAACCTGGTTGCTGTGTGATGGGCTATGCATTTCTGGTGATATCACCACCGAGTAGCGTTGCTGCACATGGAGCCGCAAGTAAACAATCACGTCATGATAGAGAAGGTCCTGCTCAACCTCTGCAAGGTCTCGCTTATATTTCTCAACACTTTGGTAGCGGTGGCAAGCGTCAAGGAGTTGCAGGTACCGCCCCCGCGCTCTTGTAAAGAAGCGCAAATGAGAAAGACTGAAATTGTACCGTCGGCGCCGATGTCGGAGCCTCTCCAGGATGAGGCTAGCAGCACAAGCACACGTCAAACCTTCCTTCTGAGCTCCTGCGAGGGGGCAACCACCTGCATGCAGTGCTTGAACCATGTCCCGAGCAACCTTGCACCTAATGAGCGCAACCAGGGAGTCCTTATCACAATGGATAGTCGAGGTACCATTGAAGGAAAATAAAATCTTTTTACCAGTAACTGTTGTGTTTGGAGTGTTGTGGACTATCGTTGCTTTGACACTCACAGATTCTATTGAAATGATTTCTGAGCTTTTCTCACCCGCCATGGCCACTAAGTTCACATTTTTTGCCGTCATGTCAACCAAGTCTGGTGGTTTAGGACCTATCTTTGGTTTGAGTTCAATAACACACTCGAGGTAGCCCACTTGGCACTTGACACCTATGTTTCTACATAAATCAAGCTTCGATGCACAGGTGAGATCCCTAATCATGATTTGGATCGGCCGCTGCCAAATCCACTTTATGGAGCCCACTACGCGGTTTCGAAGAAAAGATAAAAAGCCACCATTTGTCGTCTCATTGGCACTAGAAGTGTTTTCCCTATCTGATGATAACAAGCTGGTATTCTCGGTGTCAGGAAACTCGTCGTCGCTGCAACAGGATAGCAAGTCTTGATATTCACCTGCGTCCTCCGAACATGTGACGGTGGATTCCTCCGCTGCGTCGCTTTCAGCGTATAACAGCTCCTCATCTTCAGATAGCGTTTTGTTACCAGCTTCGCTCGATAAGTCAGTCTTCAGGCAACCTAAAATCGTCTCATTTGTGATGTTGCTAAGGATCTCCTCCATAGTGCGCTCTGGTGAAGGCTGAGGTAAGCCCATCTTAGTCACAAGACGCACCTGCTCAATCTCCACCCGAATAGATTCCGAAGTTGTAAAACTTGGAAGAAACACAGTCATGCTGAGGATTGTGCAATCCTCTACTAATACAGGAAGAATAGAATTCAGAATGTCTCTACGCACTGAGACATTCTTGAGAGCAATACTACGGTCTCGAAGCGAAGTTTGGACGTCCGCCGGCCGTACATCAGCGATGTTAGCCAACTTTGACAGCACGTAAGAAATAATAACCTGACTCATTTTGCTAATTGCGTGTGTAGTTGAGATTAAATACACACTTGTCTTAAATATCCCGCTTCTTGGTTTTAATAAAGTTTCGCAATGACCAGAAGAACACAAAATCAATATTTTCTATACTTCCATGCATGGATTTGACTTTATTGCCACACTTTAGAAGAAAAGCGTTGGTAAACAGAAATTGCATGTCATATAAAATACTTTACAAACTATGCCATTCAGTGTAGCTGTCCGTTCGAGAGAACAGCAACCTTATTATTGTGGTTTACAAACTCAGCCTCTCCATAATAAACCTTATCAAGAAAACAAATAAAATACGAAACATATTCCTAAGCATATGTATATATGCGCATATTTATATGTATATGTAATATATAATATATTATGTGTATATTCAAGATGAATATAATTGGTTTTTCTTTGACTATCGCGATTAAGAAATTGTTAAAATTCAATACAAAGTAAATGCGAATATCGAGAATATTTTCGATGGCTAAATTCTACGCCCATAATATATTATATATAGTTTGAAGTCTGCATAGATACATTTAATCGCATACTTGTCTCATGGAATCAACTTACTCCATAGCTTCAGTAGTGTATACGATGATCACAATGTGCGTTTGGATTTTTCTCGAAGTATTCTTGATGCCCAACGTGTGCTGGGTAAAAAGTTGATGCCTTCTCGACAGTCGTAATACACTTTGCACCCCCAAACACTTGAAACTTCGAATGAAGCTTCTCATCCAAGCCGTTTAGCTTGGCGATATAATCTTCAGCGGCTTTCTTTTGCTCATCGTTATGGTAAAAAATGGCGCTTCGATAATTGGTTCCAATATCAACGCCTTGCCGGTTCAGTGTTGTGGAGTCGTGGATGCGAAAGAAAAATTCCAATAGTTCTTCATACGAAACCTTGGTGGGATCATACATGAAATGCAACACTTCGGCATGACCAGTGTCACCTTTCTTGACTTGATTATAGGTAACCCCACCAGGGGCATCACTGCCACCCATAAATCCGACCTGTTTCGACACAATGGCATCCTTGAACTTGTCGCAGAAGAATTTCTCCGTCCCCCAATAGCACCCGGCGGCGAAGGTAGCAGGCACAGCGTTCACAACAGATCCCATAGCTTTATAAAGAAGAAGTTTGAGTGCTCTAATCATTTGGAGTACAATTACCATTAGTAGGAGAAAAGTGAAAAAAAATAGACAAATAACTGGACAGGCAATTTGAGTGGAGGTCTCTTAATGAAAATGGCACCTTGACCTTCAATGCTCAGTCACCATAATAAAAAAATACGAAAGTAGCCAACCGATTTGCCGCAAGCCACAACGATGGTTAGCTATGGTAATTAACAAATCACTCTGTCAACTACTAATGAATATGAGAGGACTACATTAACTCGAAGACTTTCTGTTTTTCTGGAAACGGATTACCCCCATAACGAGTGCCTGGAGCAGACCTATAGTGGCAATAGAGACGATCGCCACCACATTGACTCGACGGAAAATTCGGATCCAAGTCAAAGGTGCGTTACCGACCGCAATATTAGGGTCATTTGCGACGGTGTAAACATACTCATTCAGCTCAGGTAAATCATTATTCTCTGGCTGCACACAACTCGTGAATACTGGTGGCCACAGTAGGCGATGCTCCAGACAGAAAGCCTCCAATCTTGACTTGCTTTGTTTTATGGTGTCATCTTCATGCTCGGCTGCACGATCGGTCTTTGTTTGGACAACAATAAAAGGAAGGTTTGCAGTACACGGCGCCGCGATAGCGCGTTTATATAGTCTCATAAGATATGGAATGCTGTAGATGACATCACCACCATCGTAACACAGTAATACCACGTCAAAGCTTTTGCTTAGATTTTCGTGGGTAAGGATGAGTTCTGCCTTTTCTGATGGGACGACCGTGTAAATAATAGTCTGAGGATTGGCGTCGGATTTGGAAGGGTAAAATGTCATGGATCGCACGTAGAGTTCGCTTGGCTCGGTGCGATTCGCCACGCTTCGGAACGACTCCTTCTCTTGCCCCTCAGCGGTCAAAGTGAAAATGAGACTTCTACAGCCGCACCCTTCGGAGCCGACGACGAGAGCTTGAATAGTGTTGGGAAGAGCCTCCTGAGGTTCCCGGGTGGCTCGTGAATTCCGTCGCGCAAAAAGAAGCGCTGCGTCTCCCTTATATCCCCAGTAACGAGCATACTGAATCACTGACTCGCGGCGTTCCAGTGCCATGTATTTCCAACACTCAATAAACTTATTAAAGGAAAGTTCCTGCTTCTCTAGTCCACCCACGCCGGCCCATGGACAGCCAGGCGTGAACTGCCAGATGTTCGGTGTATTCTTGAAATGTTTTAGCTTATATAAATTCGAAAAGAATTTGATGCCATGTAAAGACAAATACGTATTCGTGTCCTTGTCTATACGTGTGCAATGTAAGTCGTACCATGAGTGGGGTAAACCACTAGGGTAAGTTCCCACCACGTGTAGCGTCGCCCATGCCTCCTCAGCACCCCCAGCTGCAAGCCAGTTCGTATGTATTTGCTTGAACTGCTCTAGACTCAAGGCAACATTATGCACCATCACACCGTTGCCGAGCTCTTTGTCAAGAAACTCCTGAAGGTCATCTTCGGTGAAGGCCAGAGACTTGGTTTGACGCAACCAAGACAGCAATTCCTCCCTTCGAAGGACGCCAGTGCAATGCTTGTCGAAAATCCAAAAGGCCCTGTGAAAGGCGGCCTCTCCGGTTGGTGTCAGACACTGAAGAAGTGTGTCATAAATCACATGGATCGGTGTCAGAGCAATGCGCACCAGCTCGTCCCTTAGGCGATCCAGCGTAGTGGATCCATAGTAAAAGTGTGAATCACGAAGTGCCTTGACACAACTATGCGGGGCGTCATCCAGAGACAACACAGGGCGGTCGTTGTAGCTGTCCTGACTTCTTGGTGAGCGACACCCTTTGCCCAAAACAATAACGTTGCACAAGGATAAAAGCCTTTTATCCACAGTGTCAATATTAACTGTCCTAGTGACGGACAGGTGGTAACTAGTGTCCCATGCAAAATGCTTTTTTTCAACTACGCCTTGCAAGGCCCCTTCCACACGAAAGGTATCAGTCCCACAGAAAATAACATGGATGCTATTCATTTCCCCTCGATATATGCGCCTCTTATACGCTTGTAAAATGATCAATCTGTAATTCCTTTGTGCCCATAATGGAAAAAGCAAAAAGATGAACACCCATTCACTTGAAATATTCACATTTATCAATACCCTTCGTGTCCACTCATATTATCACACTCTACGTTGTCAAGCATATATATATATATATATATATATATATATATATATTTATTTATTTATTTATTTATGTATATATACACACATATGGGTGAGTGTGTAGGTACGTAACTAATCAGGTTAGTAGGGGATTTCCATTGTCATGCAGTGCAGTATGACATTTACAATAAACCGCTTCTCAGGTATATTTGATCTTGCACAAAAATACCCGTCAATGCGTCATGTGAAGCCGAAAAAAAAACTGGAAAAGCAACCCATAAAATACGTCAACACATTTATCCTTCATCACTCTTCCCCATCAAGTACTCAGAGAAACCTTAGCAAAGAAAGGGGGTCGGGGCTTCGATGGGGGGGATGGGGGATGTTGGCTTCCTCCTCCTCCCCCCTCCCAAGTCTAGTTCTGGTTCTTTTTTTCATCCCCCTTCTCCGACCCTTCGCGCACCTCCTTTGTGGGTTCAGTGCCTCCCTCTTCATTCTCTTTGGTAGAACCACTCGATGTCGCCAACTGATCCTGTGCTTGTCCTGGGCCCGCATCTTCCAAAGACAAGGCCAGCGCCCGTTGCAGCATCTCCTCCTCGGACATGTTAGCAAAGTCCAGTTCCGCATCTGCCGTAGCGGGTTGGGTTGCGTTCGCCGGTGGCGAGCTCACGGTGGTAGCCTCCTCGTCCCTGGCTCTCTCGGATGCCACCGCGGCCGCCACAGCCTGTCGCTGCTGCTCCTCTTCCAGGGAGAGGCGCAGGGCCATGGCAAGCTCAGGATCCACGTTCGGATCTACACCAAACCCTACGCTCGCACCGCCACTGCTCCCGGGATTCAAATCCTCCCCTCCAAGGAGGATGGGACTGCTCATGAGAACATCTGTTAGATTGGCGTCCTTCGAGACACTGAGAAGTCGAGAATTCCCATTGCGGTTGACTTTCTCGACAAATGACTCCAGCAATGGCACGTTCTCCTCCACGCCGAAGACAACAACGTCGACGGCCACGTCCTCTTTGCGTAGCTTCCTGGCGAGTGCCTCTAGATCCTTTGGGGTCTCTTGCATAGGAGACCCAACAAAAGCAACAATACGCTTTTCTGCACGAGGGTTTGTGCGGTGAGTAAGAGCTAGCGAGGCGATAAGTAACCCCTTGGCAAAGTGACACTTGGGGCCACTGATAGTGATTTTAGAAAGACTCGCCATGACGCGATCGACATCTAAAGTTAGTGTCTCGAATACAGTACATGCCGATCCACCAGTAGTCAAAAATCCGACCACATTTTCTGCGTTCATTTGAATCTTTGCATTGACCAAAAGATTTGCGGCCTCCTGCTCTGCCATGAGGCGATTGGGAAACTGATCCCCATTACGCATATATTCACTCGAGTCTAGGCACAAAAAACAAGCCTCCGGCATGTTGAAAACGCAAAACAACTATGTGGAAATGGAATGATAAATAAACCCTCTCAAAAAGAGATCGTGGTGTGCGTGTGGATACAAATAATGGGTGATTGACTGCAATAAAGCTAAAAGGAACACTTGTAGCAAGTTGTAAAAGCAAGAGACAAAACAGAAGGAAAAGCACACTTTAAAACTCATGTTCAGATGCTTAGCCATCATCACAGTCGCAATAATGTCAAGCGTTTCTTGTTACCAATTTCAATGCGATACTAAGATGCTACGAAAAAAATTTTTAAAGGATAAAGGTCGGCAAGAATTTAAAAAATGGAAGTCTACTAATCAATCGCACTGATGCATAGAATCAAAATCTTTCCCTCCCATTTTAGATACATAGACCGTCATGTGCCAAGATTGACTCAAGGTATCCATTCTTTCCCTGTACACTTTTATAAAAGTGGTAAATGGCTAAATCCTTTCTGAAACGTAGTTCATACGGAAAGGAATATACTTGGCACGATGAAAAGTGAAGCTGCCACGAGGATATCTTATATCTCATTTTTAGAAGACTATTTTCAGGGTTTGGTACTGTTTACGTTTGTGAGAGATTCAGCAAGCACCAATTGATAGCAATCCAAGACATCTTGGGCCTGTTGCCACAGCAGAAAGACTGCTGCCGTGTTCCGCCATAGCTCTAGTTGCTGAAGTGCCCGCTTCACCTCAGCGTCAGACCGAATCGCATGTGTGAACTTATCCTCACGCCTAATGATAGACAATGGGGAACCTTTGGGTGGGTTTGCGAAATAGGCTTGCAGCCTTTCTGCGTACTCAACGGCAGAGCGCACATCCTCTTTCGTCCGGAGCTGACGTTTCTCGCGCTGCAGTAGTCTCGCTAAAGCCAACCGCTTGTCGGCCAAAGCCTTCTGACCACGGCTGAGTGTAGAAAGATGCGTCATTTTCACCAACTCCCGCACGCCGTCGGATACGGGGCTCGGTGTGGAAGCTTCTATGGCGCTCGAAAATGTACTAGAACAGCGAGACACAGCATCATCCAACGTCTCCAAGCAAAAAGTAAAGGCCGCGCTGGTCTCAGCCACAGTACTTGGGTAGCTAATACCTACGGTCTGCTCGACACTTTCGCACACTGCGTTGATGAGAGGCTCAGATGCAAACAATTCCTGCATTGTTTCTAGAACGCGTGCTAACCCAAAAACATGGGCGTGTTCGAGGAGGAGAGCGAGGTTATGCAGCTTACAACATGACACATCAAAACCTACGAATTTGCGCATATTGTCAGCCATATAGCGATAGCGATTTGTAACACCACTTAAGCATCCCAGAGCCTCTGGCATCGCTTTCAAGTAAGCATACAGATCCAAGATTGTCCTCTTGTAACGTTCGAGGCGATCCTTCCAAAGTGTATCGACTGTCTCATGCAACAAAATCGTCCTCTTCTCCCTCTCACGCAATTCCACCGAGTAGCGCAACTCTTCCTCTTTGTAGAGACGAAACTCGACTAAGAACTTTTCGTAGTCGCTGTTCAGTTCAGCCCGTCTCTTTTCAAGTCTCTTCCAGCGCACGCCACCCACAGCGCATGTCAACGTGAGGAGTCCAACCCCACCAAACATCATGACCCGCCTATACGACATGAGCCACTACACTACAAAGGATGAAGATTTCTCATGTTAAATTTTTTAGAATGGAGGAAAAGAAACTCGTACAAGAGAATCTACAGTAAAATCAAACGCCAATGTATCAGCAGCACATCCATAAATATGGTAGCTAAGGCCCAGAAAGTAAAAGGCAAAAATTCAGTAAAATAAAACACCCACAGAAATATATTCCCGTTACGACAAGTGATTCCTACTAAACAACAATAATGTACTGATAATTATGTGACATTACATCATACGCCTTTTCTATTTCACTTTACTGATGTTGCTTTCTAACCATCGATAAGAAGTACTATTCCATTCTTCGTTTAATCTCAACTAAAACCACCACGCTGGCTAGAGCATAACTTACTTTCTTATAACTAGTCGATAAATGAGCACATTAAGAGAGTGGGAAAAGACTGCCCCCTCCCTCTCAATACACACACACACACTGGAAACCCTTACTCTTCCCTGCATTCTCTATGAGAACAGCATGAGGAAGGCAAGCATCAGTGCGAACAGGCCGATAGCCTCGGTCAAGGCGAAGCCCAAAATAGCATAGTTGAAGAGCAATTTCGTTAGATTCGGCTGGCGCGCGCAGGCCAACAACAGTGATCCGAAGATGGTTCCGATACCCATGCCAACACCTGCCAATGCGATAGCAGCAAGGCCAGTGCCGACGTAGTGTAGTCCCTGCACGGAAACTGCTACCGTGGAGGCCTGGCGTGGGTAGACTGTGAGGGCAGTGGAGGAAACCCTGGCCACGCAACGGGTGATGGGCTGAGTAATTACACGACGCATCATCTGAAATGGATTAGTGAGTAGTTTTGGATTGTAATAAAGGAGGGTAAACTGATTGCACGAAGGAATCTAAAAAAGAAAAAAACGATAAAGAAAAGGAAAAGGAAATGAAATGAAATGAAATGAAAGATGAAAATCGTATGTTTAGAGAAGTTTACCCCTCGAAAAAAAAACAGTTAAATGGAAATAGACTTTAAGGTGAACTGCATAAAAATATGAAAGTGTTAGCTGCATGTTTTCATACATGAGATTAGCTTTCTCTCATAAATGCATTACTCATAGTCAGAGAAGCGGAAGCTACATCGTATTGTAGCAAAAGGGAAAAATATTAATTAATGGTAACAGTGCATCGAATACTGTCTCGTCTTCACTTCGCCTCTTATATCCCATTCTCCTCACTTTGCTGTGTGTTGGACCGTGCTAGCTCCTGTGGGAGGCATGGAAGTGCTGTTGGGTCGTGGCTTAGGAACCATACGAACAATACTGGTAGGCTGATCCTGCTGTTGTTGCGAATTCGCAGAGGACTTGGCTTTAAGCTCATCAGAGATCATCTGAGCCCTCCGTTTGAGTAAGAGCTTGGCATCTACCGATTCCTTAATCAATGTAGTGTGCATTTTTGCACCTTGGGCCTTCATCTTAGCTTGAAGCCGCCCCTGATTAATACGCTTTTTGTTGCCCCCGCGAGTTATTTTGGCTGATTGGCCCATGCTTAAAACAACTTAAATGATAAATGTTGGTGTGAAATCTACCGATTCTTTCTTAAACAACTCCAAAATGTTATGTAGATTTATTAACTATTCACAGAAATTAGCAGCTGAACATCAAGAAAGGAGCGAAAAGAAATATATACACCCACCCTTCAACACTTACTGATGCACATGCCACAATGACCCACACGGTTGCCAAGTTAATCAAGATCTGATAAAATATATAGAGCAAGCAACGATCTTGTCTATAATACCCGGGCTATGAAACACGATAAATTTACGGATCAACCTCCCCCCTACGAATCGCACGCTTTGCAGCCAACTCGCGTTGCTGGTCTTCAAGAGCCTTCTCTCGTAAAAATTCGTTCCATTGTGCTTCCCTCTGGAACTGCTCCTTCTCGACATAGCTGGACTTGGATTTCCCCTGCCGGAAGCTGTCAACGGTCTCACCCTCGGCAACTAACTCGGCCTCTAAATGCTTCTCCCACTCCTGCATCGATTGTGCCACCAGACCCAATGAGGTGGAGCTAACCTTTTTATCCTTTCGCTGCCGCTTCATGGCGGATCGCTGCTCTGTAGAGGATGTACCCGAATCCCTCCCACGCGCCGCTCGCTTCCGCAGAGATACAGGTTGCCAACTACTCGTCATGGCTTGTGCACTTGGCTCCTCTTCAGCGTACTCACTGATTCGAGCGAGTTTAGCGCTCCCGGGCCCACGATCATCATTGTTAAGTTGGTTTGTCCTCATCAGTATTGCGTACTTCTCACGGAAGAGAGGGTTTGCCCTGTAGAGGATCTCATCTATGGCTACCACATCGTTCCGACCGCTGCCCGCTGATTGAGGTGTCTCAAGTAACTCTAAAAGTCGCTTGAAAAAGTCACCATTTGAGAAGGTTTGTAAGAGCACAGCATCGTCTTTTGCGAGATGCTCTAGCCGGAGAAGGAAGGCGTATGAGTCACCCACCCGCGCAACCTCCGGGTGCGCAAGTCGACGTTGGGAAAGTAGCCGACGTTGATGGTGCTCATGGCTCATCTTAAGGCTCTGATGCACAGCGGCTGCCTGTTGCTCTTCGTGGCCCATAAGTCCAAGCCCCCAAAGCATCGGCTCGTGCACCCCCTCGCCTTGCGATGAAGTCAATGACGGTGAAGTACCACGACTGTGGCTCTCACTGCCGGAAGTCGCACTCGTTTCCGAATCAGACGGCAGAACATTCCCAAGGTCCCCGCCCATTACCATGTCCCACTACCTTTGTACGGTTTTTTAGTTTGATTGTTGAAGAGATGCGGGCCCCTTCTAAGCTATGTGGTCAGTCAAACATTAATAAAAGAAGCAATAGTGTATTACAATCACTGACGCCGAGATTTGCCTCAAGAAAAACTGATTATACCCAAGCATCAGCTCTAAATGTGAAAACTATAGTGGCCACAACTGCATTTTTATTTAAATATTGGCGTTGAATAGTCACGCATACATCAGCTCTATATTAATTGGCAATATTAACGAAAATATAAACCATATAAATAAATAGGAAAAACATAGACAGAAAATAGGCATTTGAATAATGTTTGAAAAAAAAAGCCGGCACATTTCATGTAGTTCAGCAGAGCACCCGCAGATGCGCTTCATGGCTTGCTCATGTGGGGGTCAGTAAAAAAATATTGGCTCCGTATAAATGCGATATCTACCCCACGCTTAGTCGCTGCTTCTCTGCAGCAGTGAGGTAAATGTCAAAAACAAAGGAAACGAGCTCTTCAATCTCCGTGATCGCAGGTCTGATTGCTTGAAGTGGATTTTCCAGGTTTGCATGGGAGGAAGCTGGGGTATAGGTTGAACTCTGCACAGGAAGAGTCGAAGTCGGAAAGGGTTCTAACGCGAGTGCCTCAACTTTCTGTCTCAGATTAAGAATTGACCGATGCAGAAGAACCAAATGCTCTATCAGCGGACGTCTAGTAAACAAAATGAATTCGAACACCATGCGATACTCCTCAATGTCCATTTTGCTTGTAATACTCTGGATAGGATGAAGAGAAATACCTGCAACCTTCTCGCTTACTGGCGTTGCCATAGATGCACCAACAGTTCTCACTGTTTCCGCTGCCCTCCCAACGGCGGATGGAAGGGACTCAGACGCGCTACCCGTTTCGTTCGGAGGAGGTTTCTGCCTTATCGGGGCTGGCAATGCCCCAAGCACGGGGTTATCATTGCGGCCGCTAGTTATGCGGGTAGAAATAGCTTTCTTAAAGGCTGCTAATGCATCGGCACCGACCAAGTCTCCCTCTTTGAAGGCCAAGACTAGCAACTGATCTAAATTCTGCTGGGTTTGGGGTGACATCGCTGAACCAATGGCATGCTGGTGAAGGTGCTGCACTAGACCTTGGTATGTTTCCGGATCTCCGTTCCGTAAGGAGTCGAGAAAATTAATAAATGGACTACAATATGAACGAAATTGTGATAGAATCCGATTGCTACATTGCAATTCGAATCGATCCGGGCAGCGCATGATACTCGCGATAAGCAAAGCAGAAAGACAAGAATCGCTGACATGGTCTGCGGCTTTGAGACGGTAGGCGTTAAGCAACGCATTCAAATCCTTCTCCTCCTCCTCCTTGCGACGAAGGGTGCACTCCATGGATGTTAGCGCACAACTCAGCGAGTAATTTAGCCGTAATGTCTTCTCCAACTCCAGTCTTTCTGGAGCTGGAGATCCTGCCACAATCTGCGGCGCCTCTCTCCTAATGCTTTTGGATGCTATGTTATTGTCAACAGACTCGCGTAATCGTATATTCTCCGCCTGCAAAGAAGCCAGCCGACTCTCTGTATCACGGAGGTGCTGTTCCATACGGGCAGCATCCGCTTTTTGCTGAGATACCTCCTCTTGTGCGCGAATTTTCACAGCCATTTGGCTCGCTGCATCCGCACTTGCTCGCAAAGCGTCACTCTTCGCAAGATTGAGTTCTGATTGAAGCGCTATACACTCACGTTCTACGGATCGCTTCTCGCTTGTGATATCTGTCACATTTTTGGTGAGCGCACTTACGCGATTCGCCAGGTCCTTCAGCTCCTTGCTTTGGGTTGCAATCTCATCATTCTTGACTTTGAGCGACTCCTCTAGCCTCGTGGAACGCAAACGCATCTCCTGTGCCTCTTCGCGGGCTCGACGCAGATCGTCCAGGACATCAAAGAGTTTGCTCTGCTCAGATGCCATAGCCGCTGCAAGAGGTTTATTCTCAGTCTTTTTGACGCTATCCAACGAGCTTGATGATGGTTTCAGCACTTTAGGGCCCATAAGGGGTGGCACGTACACCGGCCCAGCGCAACCGTTCACCAAGCACACAAAGGCCGCACCGTCATTTCCTAGGCTCCATAATTCGGCAATTTCCGTGTGTCGCACCTTGACAACATCGTGAATAAACATTTTATGGGTATCCTCTTGCGTGTGCAAAATGCGTGCGTTAGCCACATCGACAATGACAAGCTGCTTTTCGTGCGTCGACACGACCACCCTCCCACCTACCGTCACCATGCCGGTCACGATCCCAACCGAGGTCAACCGTTTATAAAATAGCAGTCTACCGTCACTTGGGTTAAAGTCATATAAGTCAATGCTAGAATTGCGACGTGCCACCCAGAGCCTGTTGTGCGTGGTCTCATACAACAGCTTGAGAACATCACTCCTGCCTTGAGTATGAACAGACAGACATTTCGATGTCAGCGTGTCCCACAAATACAATGCGCCCTCTCGGTCACCTGCCGCAATTATTGACGAAAACTGCATCACCGCCGTGCAGGGAGCCGACGTAGGGAACGAAAATACTAACTCTTTTGTGCTTGGATGGAATCCAAGCACATAACCTGCCTCTGAGGCTAGAATGACCAAACATCCATTGAAGGAAATATCCATCAGCTCCACTTTTTTTCCGCTTCCAGGAAGCTGCAATTTGTTTGTAATCTTGTAGCTTCGCGTGTCCACAGAGAAGACCTGCCCGTCAGAAGTAACAGCCCATACTTCATTGAGCACTGCGGCTACCCTCCTTATTTGAGGGGCTTTGCAGCCGTCCAGATCAATTGGTATATCATTCAGATGCTCGTGTGTTTCTGCATCGTAGACCGCAAGACCACCCTTTTGGAGGGCGAACCATACCTCGTTGCGAATAGAGCATGCAGCTCTGGCCTTGATTTTAATACGCAAAGACAGGACCTCCATCCTAGATTAAGTTTATCCTGCGGCGCTCTCTTCGGATCGCCTCCTCATCAATTTTTATCGCCTCTTGTTGTCTTTCCTATTGAGTTTAGAACAAGAATATATATATATATTAGTATTGGGATGTTTGGAGAGAATAGTAGAGCAACCATACGTGCAATATGTGCGTGGGAGAGGGGTCAGGGCTGAGAAGGCTATTTCCCTTTCGACCAACGACACTCTAAGCATAGGGCTAGTATTCATCGCCTTTACACAACAATAATCGCGATATCCAAAAAAAAAAAAATCACAATTAGTAAAAACGAGCAACCAACGAGATATCTTTCCCTGTCTTGTTCAGTGAATTAATCTTCCTTTACCTCCTAACCTCCCTATCACAACTTCATCATGCAACCTGTTCCTTGCTCAACCTGAAGTATGGGATAATGGTAGTATTTCTTCATACTGGCATCGAACTGTGGGACCATGCGCAACCGGCCCGTCACCATGCAATGATCTCCCTCTTCAAGCTGCTCCCTAAAAGGCTTCCAGAACGCATTGCCGTAGACGCGAACGGTGTGAAAATCCTTGTCTGGGTCCCCGAGCGCGGGGCCCGCAAAGTCAGTCACTAATGTGAACTGCAGCACGTGATCCTCAAAAACGTACCCCTCTTGGATCTCTTGCACCGTCCCCATCAGCACGCAGTGGTTAACACAGCGCCAGTGAACCGCGACATCGCCTTCCTCCGGAGCGTCCGGTGCCACATCAAGGTGGTACTGCGGAGCCTGCGGGAGAGCCCCGTCCTGCTGCCTCACGTACTGCTGAAAATTGCCGGAAGCCTTCTCTGCATCCTCCACAGCGCTGGTGACAGAAGCTGCATCTGGCACTGGGTGCGCATTCGATTCCCCAGAGGCACTAGAGCTGGAAGCGGTCCCAGAAGTGGACAAAGGCATCTCCATATTATGCTTTGCCTGGTAGTGGTGCTGGAGTGCGGCTTCAAGACGGAAGGTCTTCTGGCAGATAGTACACACAAACCGACGCTTATCAGCATCGTCATCTGAGGTGTCACTTAGTGCACTCGGTTCCGTTTTATGAGCCGCCTTGACCTCATTCAGCTGTGAAGATGATGGAACAGCTGATGCTGTTACCGCCGGTTGTTGAAATGTGGAACCACCCAGTGGGGCAGCAAAAAAGCCGGGGAAACCACCTGGCGCGTCCCCACTTCCAGTCATAGGCATGGTGAGATGCGATGGCTGTGGCACTGTGCCCACTGTCGTTGATGAAGGAGACCCTTGTGTAGCAGGTGGAGTGACTGCGACTTCTTCGACTTTGCCGTCTCGATTGACCAATGCTTTCGCCTGGCCGGCATGCTTTGTTAGAATGTGGTGATTAAGAGCATTGAGAAGGCGGAACGACTTGCCACACTCGCTGCATTGGTACTGCGGTGGGTGCACCGCAGACAAGCGAGGTACTGTAGCTTGGTGATGAAATGTGGAAGAGCCCATATGAAGGACACATGGGTTTTGCCGAGTGAAAGAACTTGCATGGGAGCAGGCAACGAGACGTCCTGCATTCAACGAGCAAGACACTCGACGAAACGAGGTGAGCCGGTTATTACAGCCAAACAATTTAAACGGTACAAGCTTCTTCATTTTTATTTTAATTACACCCTCCCTTGTGGCTCTTTTAAATAGGTTCAAGCGGTTTGATATTTTTAATAACCGCGCACAAGAACACCGATGCGAGAGGAGGAGGGAAAGTGAAAAATAGACTCTCACTAAAATGACAAATCAAAGTTAACGCGAATAAAACAATGCCTTGTTTGGGGTTAGTGTGTGACTTTTGTTATGGTAACAACCATGTCACTTATCTTTGTATGGTACATACTTGCACAATGAGAAACAAGTATCTACCACACATAACTATATAAGTTTCACACGCATTAACATTTAACGCGCTGCCCAGTATATATATATATATATATACCATTACACTTCGCATGAAACTTCATGTGAAAGATATGTCGAACACATTTTGATCTCGCCAGCACTTCACAATGCCACGAACCATTAAAAGTAATCCATTATCCACAAGGTCCTCCGGAAGAAACGACAATCGGCCCCAGTCGGGTGTCAATGCCATCTCCAGGCGAAGTCCCTGCAGCAACATCTCAATGTCACAGTCTTTCGTGCCACCGTCTTCCAACCCAGCCAACTTTATGTCGCAACACGCCCCCATGAGTAAGGTCCGCAGAAAAGACTCCAGCCAGGGAATAGGCCTCACGACAGCGCCGCAGGGGCCCTCATTTCCCTGTTCTTTATTCCCCTCTGTCGGCATGTCAAAAAATACAGTCTTAGGGCTTGGTGCACTCTGTGCTTCTCCCAGTAATGCAGATGAACAAACACGCCTCACGCGCACGCCTGTGATTAAGCGATGCGACACAACTGTTTGCATCGCAAGCGACCACATTTCATCGGCATCAGATGATCCACACTCGATCGTGGTTTCCTTGAAGAGTATGGCTGAGAGCTCCTCGAGCAAATCACGCTCCGTCAGGTTGGAAAGACGTAGCTTAGAGCACACCATGGAGCTCCATAACGAATCCTCTTTGATTGCCTGATGGTACGCCTCCGTGGTGATGGCAACCTCTGTAGTGAAGGGCGGCATCGAAAAAACCCATTCCGCGCGCGAGAGACGTTCCAACTCTGAGCAAAACGAGTTACATTCCCCGCGCGTGGCGCGGTAGCCTTGTGCGTTCAGCAGTGTCTCATCCCGCAACACGGCGCGCCTTGTGTCTATCACAACATACTGCTCCTTCTCTGACGGAGGGTGCTTCATCTGAAGTGTATGTGGTCTCAATTCCCATGGGACCTTGTGACAAATGATATCGCGGCCACAACTAAGAAAAAAGTCACGGACAACGTCTTCAACCAGCTGCACGCCATCAGGTGCATCCAGCGCACCACCGCCGATGCCCCGTGCGCTAAGGGTAGTCACGGGGGATCTCACGGATGGCACAGACGTGGTGTTGAAACTGATGTACTTCCCTTCTGGGCGCAAATAGCTGCTTATTTGCTCCAGGTTTGAGTTTACAAGCAGGGTGCAGTGGTGGAGAGCCATGCTTTGCTGCACACGCATCGCGGAACCCGTAATTTTGAGACCGTCTAGGAATAAATCGTACCGCTTGGTGGTAGTCAGCCGTGCAGCATCTATGCCATACGCGCGGCAAAGCGCCAGTCGAACAATTTGGATGGTCTTTTCTGGTGCATACTCATCGCGCGAGGTGATAAAGGAGAAACACACATTGCCATAATCGTGATAAACAGTGCCTCCACCCGAGGACCGACGTGCTATTGCAACCCGTTCTCTGTGAGCTCTTCGAACAGACAGCTCCGAGTAAATGTTCTGATTGCGCCCTACCACAACACACGGGCTGTTACGGTATATGAGCAGAAGGTTCCTACCCTTGGGAAGCCTCACGCCTCGCATGAGGGCCTCTTCCAAAGTTAGGTTCTCATGAATAGAGGATGAATTGCTCTTCAGAACGATGCTCTCGACATGCGATAGATCATATTTTGACGCCTTTTGAATGCACTGGGAATCCGCCTCACTACCGCTGTTTTGTCTCAAGAAAACAGAAAGCGGGAGAGGTCCAAGGTTAAGTGCTGCAAAAGTACGCCGCCACATCAAATACGGAGTCTGTAAAATGTGTGATTCATAAAAACAGTATGTAGCAACATAGAGATGGAGAATAAAAAAATTAAGAGCAAGCTGGGAATATTGACATAGTAATTATGCAATCCAATACGAACAAGAAAGTGGTATGAAAAATATCACGAAAAAAACAATATGGTTACTTCCTTTGCAATTGTGGGAACACATGCCTGTTGTGCCTCAATACAGCTTTACATACGACATGACGTCAATACTAACCTCATCCATAAGAGAAAATCAAAGAAATCATCTGATACTAATAAAACTATTAAACCCTTGGAGGCGGGGCAGTCTGCACCTGCGGTTTTGTATCGCTATAGGGTACTTCTACAACATTACTAGACGGAGAGCGCCGTAGCAAATAAAAAGCTAGGTAATCAATTGGATTTGCAGGTCTCATACGACATAAGTCTTCTAGTCCCTGAGTAAGTATGTCCATCACAGACGATTCCAAGTAGGCCTGAGCATTGATATCAAACTTGGTGTCCGCCTCACTACCCCCCTGCTCACATTGATTAAAGGTTTCAGTGCCCCCAAGGGTGGTTGGCGCACCCTCACCGTCATGTTCTGTCGTCGTCACCGACTTTGCAAGACGGCTCGAATTTGCTGTCTCCATAGAGGACAATGTGTAATATAAGAACCCTTAAGGAAAAGATAGGCCACCTGTTGGCTAATCTGCTAATAGGATCTTTATTCAAGGTAGACAAAAGGGAGGGGGGGGGTTCTCTAAAAAAGCAGAAATGATTGCAACAAAAAGGCTAACATGGAATTAAAGGTTAACTTCGACCCTTTAAGCATCATAAGAATTAATACCAAATACCGCCTCTATGGACACAATGAAGAGAGGTTGACTAAACCCCCCTTCCCTTTCACTTAAAAATTCAAAGTATGTTTTTAAACCTTTTCTGTTCATATAAAAGCGAAAAAAAGAAGGAACTTATTTGGATACCCCCAGAGGCCAACCAACACTTACTTTAACAGAATTTAAATTAATTAAGCAACGTATACGGAAGGGTTTTCATGCCTTCCTCTCCCTTCCTCCCCTTTCCCATGCAAGAGTGAATGGCTTTCTATATTAAGTTATTTCCTTTCAACAGTTAAACGCACTAGATAGCCTGACCCATATGTAAGAACCTATAGCTGTCACAACAACTGCTTAATGGTCCGTAAATAGCAATAAACAGGACTTCTCAATGACGTAGCTCCCAAATGCATCCAATGCGAGCAACTTCAAAAAGCGAGTGCGAAACTCCTGTGATGGAAAGACCACGATCTCAAATAATTTGTTCACTTCTGGATCCGACTCAGTGGCAAAGGTTAAAATGACGAGAGCAAGAATCACAAGGGCAAAGAACATGGGACGGTTCTTATAAATGCTCTGCATAAAAGGCTCCCCGCGGTAGTTTACGGCAAAAATAGTCCCAGACATGAGTGTTGTCATGAGAAACATTGTTGAATTCAGTAATGTAGGCTTGAAAGAGTCCCCCTCGCCGATCTTCTTCATTTCGAGTATGGTTGCTGCGTCGACCTCGGCGACCATATTTGACGTCGTTATCATGCAATAGAGATGAAGTGCAAACTGGAGGAAAACAGTGCAGACCATGTAGGGATGAAAAACGCGCGTCACCGGGCGCTGCGGGCAAAGACGCGTGAGTGGCTTGCTGCGCGACATGAACATAAAGCATACCGACAATATCACCCCAGACAGGATCATCTGCTTCTCGCCCATCTTTACCCCATCGAGGTGGAGTACCGACATCGAATACGCCGAATTGAGGCAGCTAAGGGCCAAGATCTTGTACATCATGTGAGTTGTCACGAGTGTACTTCGGCCCAGCCGGATGATGTCGCAGACGGACGTGAGCGCCTTTGAGCGACAGGTGAAAGGGGCCGCGATGGACGCGTCGCCGAGCTTGATCATCGGCGCACCGCCGAAAGCGTCATCCTCAGAGTTGAACATGGACTCCATTAGGAGCCCAGAACCGTCCATGGCAACGCTTAATGGTGGTGGCGGCGCAGCGGCCTTGGCATCCACTTTGGCTTTTTCGGCCGCCTTCAGCTTCTCATTCCACTTCTTGATCTGCATGATTTCCGTCTTCCGTTTCGCTTCAGCCATCTTGAAGGACATTATCTCACCGAAGGAAGAGCCTGCAGGCGGCTGCGGGGGCACCACCGTGAACTGGAAGTTTGGTGGTACCAGCATATCGGCAGGCAGATCGGGCTCGTTGTGTGATTGTGGACCCATCTGCACATCCCCCTCTGCAGCTTTCGCCTGCACAGAAGATGAGTTTAGGACAGCGATGCCAGCGTGGGCTTGTTTGAGTGCGCCAACATCATTAGTGCCGTCGCCGGCCATCATAACAACATGATTCTTCAGCTTCAGATCCGTAATAATCTCCTCCTTTTGAGAAGGGGCGCAGCGAGCCCAGACCGCGACGTACTCACTAAAATTCTTCACAATATTCTCAAACACCTCGGACGGCATGTTTTCCGCATTGACGCATAGGTCCCACTCCTTCTCTTGCGGTTTAAGCTTCTTACGGGAGTACACAAAGGTGTTGGCAATGATGCTCTCTGTGTCACCTTTCTCGATAGCACCAGTAACGGCGTCGACCCAATTCACCACGCCATCGTCGCACACCTTTACGATTAGCTGTCTCTTACACAGAAGCATCGATACATCTCGGCCAACAGATATCGCAGTCTGGACGCTATCACCCGTGATAATGACACAGCGATGCGAACCGCCCACGAGATTTTTAATCGTCTCACAGGCATCCTTCTTTAGTGGGCATACATAAACCGCGAGCCCAGCGAAGCTCAGTCCCTTTTCCACATCATCACGCTTGAGGGCGGCAACACCATCTTTGAAACGGATCTCTTCGTCGGTCAGGCGGCGGTAGCCCAGCGCAATTACACGATACCCTTTTGAGGCGGTCTGCTCGGCAACTTTTAAGAGATCCGACGGAACACTGTGGCAGAGGGAGGCGATGGTCTCCGGCGACCCCTTCGTGACCACATAGGTGCCATCACTTGCCCGTGCAATGCAGGACATGCGTCGAAGCGATGCCACGAAGGGAAATCGTGCGAGGATCTTGAATCGCTTCTCCAAAGGCGGTTTTCGCTCCTCTTGGTTGGAAGTTTTAGATGACTTGTTGGAAGTCACGTGACCTTTTGCACTCGAACTTTCCTCCAGTTTCCCCTTTACTGATGCTGGATCGTACAAGATGTTGTTATCGTCATCGATGCGGTAACCGAGGACACTTACAGCGGCCTTTTCCATCTCGTCTCCAGCAAGCGTATTCTCGTCCAGGTATACCAACGAGTGACAGGTCGCCAGTACCATATCAGAAGTTTTGGAGATCATCTTAAGCTGGCTCAACAACCCCCTGCCATCAACCATGTCAACACCACCGAACAGCATCTCATCCGTTGTCAGTGTGCCAGTCTTATCAAAGCAGCATGTGTCAACCATACCAGCGTAAGGAATGCGAAACGGCTCCGTGCAGAAGATAGAGAGCTTCGAAAGTGCAAGCAAGGAAGTGTTGACCGTGAGCGAGAGCTCCATCGGAAGTTCCGGTGGGACCACCGACGTGACGATCTGTATGCTCGACAGGAAGAGCTTCCACCGGTTGCGGCGCGGGTCTGCCAAGCCGTGCTTGAGCAGGTAGCCGCTGGCTGCTAATGCGAACACAACTAGGACACCGATAAAGGCGAAGGCCTCACCACTGTTCTCACTCACACGGCCTTGGCTATGCAGGATGGTGCGCAGAAGCTTTCCCTGCTTAGTTTCAAACCCTGTCTTGAGAACTACTGCAAGGGCGTTGCCTGGAGCCTTTGCGTGGGAATCGCGGTTCTCATTGGGCTCCCGTTTTGGTCCGCTGCTCAGGAGAATTTGCGTGCCGGAAAATATCATATGCCGTGTGTGCTTCTTGATGTTGAGAGGGAGATCGATGTCGTCTATAGCTTCCTTGAGCTGTGGCGTGGACTCGCCGGTCAACGTAGCCTCATTGACCACACAGGTGCCTTTGATTAGGATCGCATCCACCGGGCATGGCTGATTGCTAGGAACCACAAGGATATCCATAGGTAACAAGGCATCTGTCTTGATATCCATCTCCTTGCCGTTTCGAATGACCCTGGCGTCGCGTACGGGAACCTCCGCCATATCACGCAGCATACGCATATTACGGATTCTCTGGTATACCGTCGTGCACTCCATGCCCACCATCATGACACCTGTGAAAATGGAATAATACCAGTACTCGTCAAGGCACCAAAGCAGCACGCAGAACATCTGAAAAACAAAGAAAGGAGAGAGCATATGATCAACAAATAGGTCTTGGAACTCAGGTATCACCACTTCCATCTTGTTCATGCCGTACGTGTCCAACTGCTTTGCGAGGTTCGCCTCGGTGGAAATACCTTTCCAGTGGATGTAATGTGAAAAGGGATGCTTAGTAGGAAAGTTAGGCTTCACGAATAGACCCCTCTTATCGTCAAGCTTCCACTTCCGTTGTTGGAACACAAAACACGGCTGATAGCCCTCGCTAGTCTCTTGCTGCAGCGGTACGACTTCAGATTCACCCTTATGGAGGTGCGTGATCACCAGCAGGTCCGTGGCATCCTCTAGCCTCTCCAAAGGCACAGAGTTATATAATATAATCGAGCGAAACTTAACGGACCAGATCGTGAACATCGAAAGAAACACGTGAAGAAAGAGACTAAGCGGGAAAAATGTGGCGTGGAGGAAGTCGATGTACGTCTGGTGAACAAGGTACGTAACTCGATCCCAGATAAGTTCCGGGTTAAGGTAGAGGGCAATGCTTCCCACGTAAAGTACCACGAACGGCCATATGCTAATCCATGTTGTCCAGTGCTTGCGGCGCAAGGGACGGATCTCCTTGATAATACTGTTTTCTACAATATAACTCTGTCCAGTCATGAGATCCTGGGTGTTTTAGATTACTATTTTGGTCTTTAGGCCTTTTCCCTCTTGTACACGTGCTGAGCCGTACGTCGTCTCTCAGTATGACAATGCGATGAAAGCCCTAGTATTATTTGTTCTGAAGCTTACCAAAATACAACCCTTAGACCAAATTATCACAGAACCTGTAAACTAGTAAGTGTTAAACTTCGCTGATTTTACCCATTCGTTTGGATGAAGGTAAAGAGTTTTCATTTATGAGCTTATCGCAACTCAACGAAAGCAATGTTGAGCATATGACAAGGGACCATACGACATCAAACGTCCATTTTATCACACAGCCCTTGATTAGAGACCTTTGATATCGGGTTTAAACAAGCAGTTATCATTTCGACTATAGATAAGCTATACATCATAAATCAATCCCTTCTCAGACCTATACCCAGAAAAAAGGGCACGATGAAAATGATATTCAGTAATAGATCCCTAACCAACCTCAAGGTGTACGCCCATACGGAAGAACAGCATTGATAGGTGTCTAAATGCGTTCGAGAAGCCGAATCGCCTCCTCACAGCCACTCCTCGCGGCACGCCCCAGCCATTCTCGAGACTTCGAGGTCATGTGCTGAATCTCCAAAGCACTAACTATGCTGGTCGCTTCCTGCTTCTGAGCAGCAGATAAGATCAGCTTGCCTAGATTGAGCTGAGACGGTACATGCCCAGCCGCGGCAGCGCGCCGATACCACCCCATTGCTTCACCCCAGTCCTCTTCCAGCACTGCAGGTCCTACAATAGCCCCTTGTTCGTACAATATGCCCAACTCGTGCATTGCTGGAATGTATCCTAGCTGTGCTGCCTTGCACAGCCACATCAAGGTCGCTTCAAGATCCGAAGGGACCCCGAGCCCGTTCTTCAGACAGAGAGCAATGCTGACCATTGCACCGGGGTGGCCAAACCCAACAACAGCGTCCAACTGCCTCAGGCAGTCGTCCATGGCATCACCAGCGTCGCGGCGCGGGTCGCACAGGACCTTCTGAAGCCGCAATTGCGCTAAGGCTGCGACTACAGGACACATGGGTGGCGAGCACGCCGCAGGGTCCCCACTCCCTGAACTACCTGTGCTGTGTTTTAAATAGAAACTGGAGAGAACGTTCACAGCGGCATCGTCTGTTGCAGCCTGACATGCTTTGCACAAGCACTCCACAACGGCTTCCTCAAGCGGTGACTGTGATGATAGCCATGAGTGTGTAAGTGGCCTAGGACCAGGAAGGGGGCGTTGAGGCCCTTTTAGTCGTGTCAATGCTGTCTTCACTATGCGCACAACGTTGTCATCTAACAACTGTTCATCTACATCGATGAGGTACTGCAGCAGGCTCTCGAAGGAGCTTTGGGGGCGCGCAGGTGAGAGTAAGGGTGCACCCCCTGAGGGCCCATCTGATGCGAGACAAGAACTGTCCCCACCACTTATACATGCAGACTCGTATCTAGTTACGGCGCTGTCATTCTTTTTCTTGGTAGTTCTAGGTGCCGCATGATCCCTCACCGCTACCCTAAGAGGGGTACGTAAAGAAGATGACCCTGTGGAAATTGCACTAAGACGATAAGGTCGAAGTACAGGGCGCTTAGTTAACAGTGGAGTGGAGGGCTTAACTGCAAGTAAGTTGCTGGTATGATCACCCCCCCCATTGGAAACCGACATGTGAGATTCTCAAACGCTTTCCGCTAGGTATATATATATATATACAGAAAAAGGATAGCACAAGTGTCTGTGCTCCCACTAATATTGATAACTGTAGATGAAATATTGCCAATGAGTAGAGTGATGTCTATCCTTCACCTTTCACCTTTGTAGGATTTCAACGTGAAAGGGAATTCCAACAAAGCACAAGTGGCGATCAGACAGATGCACAAAGGAACCATATGACTGCATTTTATTTCACCATTTTCTCATCCAACCAGCCATGGTACTGTAAATGGATAAATTTTAAAATTTTGAAGGCTGGTGGCCGCTCTATATATGCATATATATACACACACATACACACATATAAGTCACTTTTGATTAGGACAAAAGGCTCAATTACTAAACCAGTGCTCTCACAAGAGTGGCATTAGTGTTAGACTTAAGAGAGTAGAGAACAAACAGCACTACCTCCATGTATTGCAAAACAAGATACAATGCAAAAGGAAGTCTAGAAAGCCCCACACATAATGTCATTACGGCCATTACGTACAACCCATAGAGCCTAAAAACATGCTGCAGACAGTTCGTCAAACAAAGGCATTTGAATATACCTATAAAATTAATCAGGCGTGAGCTTGCTGATGAATAAGGCGTCTTTGAATTAAAACGATAGTGGTACAGTGCATGCAACGCACGTATAAACATAACAATTATGACAACTTCCAATATTACAAACGCCGCGCACAATCCAAAAGAAGCAAAAGACCCTGCCTTTACCTGGTCTTCATACGAGTAGCCACAAGGAGCAACAAAAACGACAAACGCAGAGCATCCCAACGCACAAAAGCTATGAAGTACGAAGGATATGTTGGCCTTTCGCGCTTCGTTGTGGTGGTTATTGGTGTGCTGATTTATTGCCGACAACAAGTCCATGGTTAGGATTGTTTTGGATGATTTCTCCTAATAAAACTGTTGTCTATGTTTTCACCCCAATGTAGATTCCTTTCAAGGAAAAGGAGCTCAATTCACGTCTCTATCGCTTACCTCTGATGCAACCAAACAAAGGTTAATACAACCCTGGATGTCGAAAACACAAACTAATTCCGGACAGCGAAGGTTTACAGTTCGCTATTAGAGTTCAAAAATGCTCCTAGGTATTACTCAAATATATCTTTAATAAATGTTCTCTGGCCTTATGATCAAGTTTAGACGCGTTTATGTTAATATTTGCACTAGTAACACCTTTCAAAGGTCCAGGTCATAGTAGATTTCGAATCTAATTCACCCAAAAAGAGAAGGAGAAATGAGCCCCTAGGAATAAGCGAAAGTAAGCAGAAAAAAGACACAAAAGGCAGAGCAAGTTTATTTTTTGAAGGTGTTTCTCTCACCCCTGTATACCAACCCCAAGCACTACGAAACATCAGAAGTGGCTCTCTGAAAGAATCCTGTTCATGAGACCATATATTGAACAACAAAATCTCATGGAAAGATGAGTAGCTACTTCAAATTCTCTATAGCTCTTGTTGATCTGTTTGTATACCATCAGCTGGGTTGTTAAATTTTGGAATGGCACACGCTGCGATATTTCTTGTTGAGAAGGAAAAGCACGCCTCTTGATGGTGATTAAAATTGACAGAAACCCATACAATCTCAGAGTAAAATACGGAAGAGTCATTATAGAAGGAGCCACGACCTTCTATCTCCCGAACGCGTCCCCGCCCCCAGGCTGCTTTTGATGCTTATCGCCCAGCAATCCGACAGGAAAAAGTGCTTGCACGCACATGCCGCCCTCCCCTGGCCCGGGGTGCGTAATCGTGGCCGCACGCTAAAGGCGCCCACCCTGTAGGAGGCAAAGCATGGTTGTATCTCGCTGCTGCCATCTCCGCATGACATGGCGGTCACCTGTTGTAGTAAACATTACTTCATGGCAATATCTTCCCTAAGGGTAGCATCCGACAGGCCAAAGACTGCTCGTCTCAATTGTCTCTGGGCGCTGAGAAGCGGCATCGTCGGGGTATGCAGGAACCACAACGCGTGCTCCGTCGAGCGCAACTTTTGCTGGTATACGACGACAATTGTAGCGTGAGAGGTCGGACCGAGCCGGGTTCGCTGAGTATTCGTGCGGGCTGACCCCACAACTGACAAAATTGTTTCTTCCTGCATGATGAGTTTGAGGGATTGAATAAAGGCCGCTGTGCCGAGACAACAGAGGGCGTAGCACTCTTTTTCAACCTGATAAGAAAGGGAAGACGCAGCTGCTGATGTATCCACCATATTGTCGGTCCCGGGGCGGGGAGGAGGAACCGTGGGAGGTGAGGTTAAAGAAGGCACCCGAGAAGTGAGCAGCTCGGTAGTAGCGGTGGGCCCACCAAGTGATGACAAAGGGTTTGCTGTGATGTAGTGCTGCGTAGTTAGGAAAAAATCTAATGAGGAAGTGCCCTCTTTCTGGTAAATAGGCGAGACATTATGTACAAGTCCGCACAGGCTAACAGAGCTATGAAAAGACGTTCGCCTGATGGGAGAGCGCAGGAACATACCTCAATAAGCAGAGGACGAGGGGAATGGAAATCGGACCACACCGTCACTGATGTGGCACCTTTCGTAAATGATTTGTCGAACTTTTTTCTTCGTTTATCAACCCAGGGTGAGGGGAACGGTAAGATAGGGAAGAAGCGACTCCATGCCAAGACGACATCATAGTTTGTTTTTTTAATAAATCAGATTAGACTCAGAAAACACATTCAACTCAGAAAGATGTGCTGAGGCATTACAGTCTGCAACACCGTGGGTTGATGTCGTTGATTGGGGCTACGTCCTGTGGTGGCACCATCTTGGAATTATGGTCGACCAACCGAAGCTATTTAGTTCTCTAACCACTTACGCGCTCCCCTCTCTCACGATCATGGTCAACCTCTGTGTTGGGAATGGCAAAATTTTAATACAAAGGACAAATAAATTTCATGAAACCTTCACATCCTCAAGAATGGAAAAAAACCCTCGGACTCTTTTTAAGTGGTAATGCAATGAAATCCAGTTAGTATTCATTTAGTCCCATTGTAGAGTGAATCAACCACATTTCGTCGTTGATGCTTCTGTGAATGAATTCACAAAGTCAAGCCAGAATAATAGGGAACCAAGTGATTATTCACACCCCTTAATTTCATAGACCCCTTTTATCCCTCCTCTATCAACACCATCATCTGCACTCCATTGACTTCGATCCGAAATCACTTCAACTTTTGCATTGCACATTCGAGGAGGACGATGATGCTAGAAATCCCATGGAAACGACTTGCAGCCCAAACGCCATGGAATAGGACGCCAACGTCAGAGAATCCGTGCACACACTAACGCTGGGCCCGTACCTTTCTCGCAGATAAATAGAGTATTCCAGAATTTCTCGACACAACAGGATCTCACGTGGATGCTGGTTAAAGATAAAACCCCATTCATCGCACGACAGTGTACTCGAGTGCATTGATTCCTCACACGGCGACCACCCCTCTCCACATGCGATGGAGCCGCCGACCCCTTCCGATGTCAAATGCAGCTGCGTCGATGAGTCGATAGTGTAAGTCCGAAGTGGGTGGCGGGGGTCGAGCAGGGGTAGCACCGCTGCGTAGGGCCGCCACTCGGGCAAGGGATTGCCTGGTACTGGTCGCCGCTGATCCTCGCTCTGCGCGTCGAAGACAAAATCCGATTTAGCGCGTTGAATCAGCACAAGTGCCTCTGCAGCAACATTACGTGCATCGCATAGCGACGCTGAGGCCCCGTTGCCACCCCCACCACTTTCGCAGGGGATCGCTACACCCCCCTCCACCCTCCCCCCTCTTCCAGTCGGCGCTACTGCTGGAATGGATGGCGGAGTCGACGCGCTACCCAGAGACACATGCGCACCGGGAAGGGCAGCGACATCCGAAAGAAATCGCCGAACAGCGTCAGGTAACCGCATCATGTTGCCATTCTGCCCAAAAATCAGGTCATACTTCAACACCGACCCTGACGTGATGATTAAGTTAAAGAACGCGCTCACGTCCATCACGAGCTTAGCATTGCGCACCGCCTCCGCGGGCTGCACCCGCTGCATCGTCAGGCGCCGTACCTGAGCGGCCAGCTCCAGGTTCGGCATGATCCCTCGTCGCAGGGCATCCAACCGAGTCGACGCATTGCTCACCGCAGTCTCGCCGTCACCCCCAGAGGCATCCCCTCCCTTCAACGGTGCACGCCCCTGGCGCCGGTGGTCGAGCTCGAGGGCCTTGTAGTACGCCAGCGCCGTGATGTTGGGCGTGACGACGCGCATATCAAATGCACCAAGATGGACATAATTAAAGTCCGTGCAGCGCGAGAGTGCCACGTATGCCTGCCCGGCCTCAAAGCAGTTTTTCAGGTCGATGTCCACCTTTGTGAGCGACATGCCCTGAGATTTGTGAATAGTGATGGCGTAGGATAGTATGAGGGGAAGTTGTACAGTGGAAGAGAGCACTGTTTTCCCGCTCATCTCCACCCACGCACGCGGCTCCACGACAATCTCGAGAAGCGCTGGGGGAGAAGAAGAGGATTGATCCCCCGAAGGATAAGACGTGTCAAACTTGACAATGGGGAGTTTGGTGTGCCGCCTGCCCGTATCTTCCCCCCTACCGCAGCACAAACGCAGCACCTCCTCTCGGGTGAGCGACGACCCGCTGAGCGCATAGCCTCTGGCGATGTCGAGAAACCCAGTAACCGTACCCGTGCTGCCATTGACGAGGCTGTTCACGGTGTCATGATTCTTGATCAGCATGACGCGGCACCCGACCCTCAGCTCGACCACCTCTTGAATGTTCTGCGAGGGAAACTCGCCTTGCCCCGTGTGAAAGCCGCGGTACATAAAGACCTCCGTGTCCAGTTGTCGAAAGTGGTGGGCATTCTCCCGGTCCACCTCAGTTCGTTTGGAACGGAGTAAAGTATAACCGTCGAATGCGCGCAGCGACATCGCGTCCGATAGATTAGGTAACAAAGGCCGGCTTGGGATCAGTGAGCTTGACGGATCCCCCATTGCTTGGATTCGATCGTGCGGATTGAAATGGCGTTCACGGTCAAGATTCCTAGGAGGCGGGCCCACCGCGGTGCGCGCACTGAGAGAAGCCAGGAACGTCAGAGACTCGGTATCCATCTGACCAAATCGAATCTGGTTAAGCAAACGAAAGAAGAAAGCATTCTTCTGCCGAAAGGGCTTTGTGAGAAGACAGATTTGCAGATTTACCCTTAACCATGCCTCGCTTTCGAAGCAGAAAGCCGGTTTAGTATGCCGCCGTTGCTTGACAACGGGTGGAAGCTGAAGAAAATCACCGGATAGAACGAGTTGAATGCCGCCAAATGGATCATTTGGGCGCTGCCGGATCCTCCGCGCAGCATACTCGAGCAGATCGAAGAACCACGCATCCAGCATGGAAACCTCATCAATTACTAGAGTATGGCAGGCCCTCCATGCCGCCCTGCAGCGTTGGCTAGCTTGCATTTTGCTGAGCACCTCCTTGCGATCACTCCAAGGCTCCACCAGGCCGCATCCGGCAAAACGGTGGAGCGTCGTACCGCTTAGGTTCATAGCAGCGAGGCCTGTGGTGGCGGTTACAAATGTGGTCGCTCTTGGCAGCGATGCGATAATCTGGCGGAGGAGGTAAGACTTCCCGGTCCCGGCACCGCCGGTGATGAACACGGAACGGCCCTCTCGTACCACCTGGTGAAACGCAAGCAACTGCTCATCGGAGAGGCTTCCCAAAGGGTCCGGCGCCGCTTCCGATACCGACGAAGAGGCGCAGCCCTCCTCAGAGAGCAGAAGGCGGTCACCAATGTCTGGCGCCTTCGCCACCGCCCTCACTGGAGTCGGGGCGCGCGCGTTTTTGGCGGGTGTGCATAGTACACAAGGGGAACCGCACGATGAGCTGCGCGTTCTCTTTCGTCGTACGACGCCGCGACTGGCCTCCTCAACACTGGCCACACTAGAAAACAAACTCCGACAGCTGTTGCTATCGTCATCACTCGAAAAACACGTGGCCTCGGTCGAATCCGTGCTCATCGTCGAAGTTGTTGAGCTAGACGATACGGTGCATTCGTCGCGCCCATCCCGTTTTTGCCATCGGGTGGAGATGTGATGTCGCTCACTTTCAGTGCATTCCTTATTGTCGTCAACATTAACGGCGAACAGCGCGGTAGCCTGCTCCACCGTCATGTGGAGTTGATCCTGCGACGAAACCGGCTGAGATCCATCACCGCGAATAGACCCGCGGCCAAAGGAGGGGTTTGCAATAGCAAAGCTATGAGTCGATTCTGAGCACTCCACGGTTTCCTGAGAAAGCATTCCGCTGGCGTAATGCTCCGAACGCTCCTGTTTGATTGATATTTATTATGGTGTGATCTCTCTATTGATTTATATATCTAGTCGCTATCTATGTCTATTAATTTATGCAATCCGATACACCTTTGTAAACCCCAAGGACCACCCCGTCGCGATCACAAGGTGCACGCATGAAAAAACTAAGCAAATAATTAGAAGACATATAAAGTGAATAGTTTTGTAATAGGGTTTATCAGTGTCAGCTCTATAGACTTCAAATGGTTTTTCATTATCTTGCGAAAGACGCAATCGATGCTTCGATCATTTCCATGAGAGCATATATGTATCGTTTACGCACATAAAGAAAAAGAAATGTTGTAAATGATTACTCCAAAAATGTTAATAAAGCATCTCGTAAATATCCAACGCACCTCACTCCCACTTCCTCCCCACACACAAAGGTAAAAAGCAAGGGTAAATAAGGGTAGTATCCTCTCACTCAGAATCTGCAATACACGTCTCAATGATGCTTAGCAAACTACGATTTTCCAGCGCAGCAGCCACCCGCTCCTTATCGTTGAGCTGTTTGTTAACCTGCTCCTCCTGGATGTGGGTGCCAGGGGTTACGTACACGTCAACTTTCGTGTACTGCGGCAGCGAACGCTGCAGCTTAAGGAAGATGCTGAGCCCGATGACCGCCGTCAGGCTGCAGTGCGGCACCGTAGGCGTGAAAAGCACCTTCACGTGGCGCTGCTTCCAGTTCACAGTTATGAGATCCGGCTCCAGCACCTTGAGCTCCTCGAGCGTATGAGGATGTTCAGGATCCCGAATACGTCGGATGTGCTCAAAAACCTCTAGACTATCAATGGGATCCTCGATGGCGTCGTCATCCTCGGCATCAAGCTCCTCGGGGGTTCGAGCGGTATTTAAAGAGACATCGTATATCTTTGGCGAAGGATTTTCAACCATTCTGACATGCCCAAAGCAAAAAAAAAACGAAAAGGGAAGGACTAGTACCTTTTCGATGAATATGCTTAAAAGGATTTTAAACAGAAGTCAGTGACTTTGAAATAACTAATATTGACTATAGAAGGAAAGTTGAAAGGAGCAATACAAGTTTTAAAGACGATATCAACACCGCGTAAAGGTGTATAGCAAGAGGCGGCTATAAGATATGCTGGCATAGTACTATGATAAACCACGACAAGTTCATTCTATATTAGAAGTCAACTTATTGCTCATAGAGGGATTAAATGGGTTTCCTATTTATAATATTACCAGTTCAATTATCGATTGTGATTTATAAATAAAAAGAGGAATGATGTCAAAGTAAAGAGATAGGTTTATACCTGAAAGTTCTACTTTGTATTAACAAAACTTCAAAGCATAAACCGTGTTTTTTTCCCATGAGCTTATGGGTGCTGAGGTCTCACACTTAGCCCCGCTTGCGCTGGTTACCTGCTTTGTTGGCGGCTTGATTTGGCGACTGTTTCGGCGACTGCTTCGGTGGACTGCTCGGTTTACCTCGCGCGTTGGGGCTGCTCTTTGCCGACTGTTGCTCACGCCGCGGAGAATTATCCTCCTGACGCGACTGCTTCGCCGGGGGTGCCTCATCCTCAATCTCCTCGTCGTCTTCGTCATCATCATCATCAAGTGATACGTCGGGAGGGTTTGAAGAAACCTCCTCCTCATACTCTTCATCATCGTCATCAGCGGACCCCACCATCCCCTCCTCGGCGGCGTCCGAGTCCTCGTCAGATGATGAGGGAGGGGCCTGTGTAGGATCCTCTTCGCTACTGTCTGTCTCCAGCTCCTCCTCGCTACCACCATCAAGATCATCATCATCCTCCCCCATATCTCCTTCATCTTCACTGTCGGAGTGGGATTCCTTTGCTTTTTCCTCGACCTTCTTCGAGGACTTTGTGGTGTCACCTTTTATCGCCTTCACGTTCGAGGGAACCACCTGCTTGGACTCGCTCTCCTCCTCCTCCTCCTCCTCGTCATCGTAACCAAAAGGAGGGAGTCCATCATCTCCGTCGATGTCGAGCTCTCGAATATAGCCAACACAGTGCACTGCACATGAGCCCTTGGCATAGAAAACGGTTTTTTGCATCCCATTAAAGACTAAATCTAGAGGCACCTGCAATATATTCCGTCCAAAGTCCAGGGTGGCCACTGGATGCGATTTACCCTCGACCGATACATAAAGCGTTGTGCGACCGTTCTTCGTCTCGTGTGGGAGGGAAACAATAGAGAGGTGATAGCCGTGCTGGGGCGGCACCTCCAGACCGTGCTCCTTACCAGGGGATACCTGAAAAGCGTAAAACTGTTCCATCGTGGTTTATTTTTCTTGTTTTAGAGAGAGATGAAAGCGTTAAATATTTTTGTTGAGGAGGACTTGTGTGGAATGGCACGTGACCTAAATGAAAGAGAGTCAGAAATATGCTGCCTAAATGGGGGGATCTCAACAAAAGCGTGGAAAGTAAGGATGATAAAAAGTGACTATTTGGTCATTCACATCTTTAGGCATGCGCCCGACAACAAAGTCCACCTCCTTTTGACAAAGGAGCGAAAAAGAAAGAGATCAAGTCTGATTTTTTCGTCATGATTTATACTTAAAGTTAATATTAAGCTCTTACTCTTACTATTGAATTTTAAAAAGAAAAATAACTCAACTACTTAGATTTATAGACTTATTTATACGCCGTCTTGGACAATGCGGGCCTCAGAAAGCATGCCCTTTGTTATTATTTTTACCTATTTTACTATCTACCACGCATGTGCCTAATCATTCGTATATTGTCACATAAGAACATGTAAAAAAGGGAGTATTTTAACGAAAAATTGAAATTTTTACTAAAAAATCGCATTCACGTCTTGTCGGTTTGGCTTTTGGGCCTTTATATATGCTTGAAGCTCTTGCCCGCTACTCGTAGATTTGAATTACTTTTCTTCCTGGGAAAGGAGTGTTGTCATTGCGAAGGCCCTTCATGGTAAGAAAGTCAAGTCGGTACAGACCAATGACCCCCTGCTAACCCTATATTCTTTATTATTTTTAGATGCTTGGTAGACTTACCAAAGAGACCTCACGACTCGAAACACCATGTGTCGACACGAATGAAAGGTACGTGACTTCATCACTATTCGATGTGTGATCTCTTTTGGCAAACTTATAAGACTTTCTTATATAAATAAAAATATTTACTTAGTTCTCCCCTCTAAGCGAATGTCGGAACCTTCTCTTGAGGGGTTCACCTTTTCTGTATAGCAAGCTAGTGGCGCCCCCGAGAATTGTTGCGTCCGCCGCGGAAGTTCCCGCCTCGGTTCCCGCCCCTAAAGCCACCGCGGTCCCCACCACGGAAGCCCCCACCACGATTCCCGCCGCGATCCCCTCCACGGAAGTTGCCGCGGTTCCCGCCGCGATCCCCTCCACGGAAGTTGCCGCGGTTCCCGCCGCGATCCCCTCCACGGAAGTTGCCGCGGTTCCCGCCGCGATCCCCTCCATGGAAGTTGCCGCGGTTCCCACCGCGATCACCACGGCCTTGCTGCTCTCGGCGTTGAAACTTCGCTGGGGCCTCATCCTCACTCTCGTCTTCATCATCACCCTCGTCGTCCTCCTCATCATCACCCTCGTCATCACCCTCGTCATCACCCTCGTCGTCCTCCTCATCGTCCTCCTCATCGTCCTCCTCATCGTCATCCTCGTCAGCACCCTTACCGTCCTCCTCGTCGTCAAGGTCGCTGTCGCCTTCCTCATCCTCGTCATCCTCCTCGTCGAGGTCAAGGTCACTGTCATCTTCCTCGGCCGCCTTCTTGGCGACCTCATCCTTCTTCGACGCGGGTGCTTGCTTACCGGTGTTGCGCTGAGGGGCTTGGGGTGGGGTGTTGTCGTCTTCGTCGTCGCTGTCTGATGGAACCTCCCCCATCGCCTCATCCTCGTCTTCGTCAAGCATGTCGCTCATGAGGTCGTCCGCACCGACCGGCTGAACATAGCCGGTGAGGTGAACCACGCCACTCCCCTGCGCGGAGAAAGAAACCGCCTGCGCCTCAGTGAAAACGAGATCTGTGTTCATTTGAAAGATGCCTTTCTTCGGGTCGAGCGTAGCGACGGTGAATTTCTTATCCTCGAAGGTTACGAGGATGGAGATGGTGCCGCTGGCGTTGGCAGGGACGGCGAGCTGCGTAATACGCAGGGCACAACCCTCTGGAATTTTCGGCTTCACCTGCTGCTTGCCGGCAGCAACCTCGAGTCCGTAAAATCCTTCCATTTCTATTGCTCGATGTGGATTGGATAATGAGTAGAATACCTATTGGTGATGTTGATGTTTTGTCGATTACCCGGTTTCGATGAGAAAAGAGTGTAAAATTTCTTGCTTAGATGCGCGTAAAACGAGCAAATGATACCGTAGAGTTGCGGACAAAATGTTCACTGATTAAAAAGGCGAAACTTATAGCTTAAAAGTTATTACTATGTATCGTCATAAATAATGGAGGTGGTTAAGAAGTAAAGAAAGGGGGATAAAATAGAAATGTAGTTAAAAGTCTGAAAGGTCACGCGAAACTAGCATGTCGAATCTAAAAAGTATGAATCATCCATTTTAAAAAGACGATCACATTCTTTATTATTCGTATCACACCAAATGGATTTCATCGCATTTAAAGGGCCATGTACGATCACCAGTTTTTCCAACACGCGGGCCTAGTGACGCTTGCGCTTCCTATTCGACTTCCCATCATCACTAGTAACAGCTTTCAATTGCTTTTCTTCCTCCGTTGTGTCCTTTTTCCCATAGATCAGACTCTTGGCCTTTGGAACCTCATCAGACTCATCTACTAAATCTTCTTCATCCTCCTCAATATCCTCACTGAGTTGAGTGAAACCCGTGACGTGCACGCTGCTACTGTCTAGTGGCCCGTCCGCAGCAAATAAAACCTTTTGGGTTGGACTGAACACGAAGTCTAAGCGCGTGAAGTAGACGCCCCGTTTCGGGTCGAGGGTGGCGACGGTGAAGGACTTGCGGTCCAACACAACGCGGAAGGTCACGGCGTCACGGGCACCGGCGGGAAGGGCTATCTGAGAAACGTGCAGCACGCGATCGTCGGGAATTTTTGGCTTCAGCGGCTTCCCCACCATGACTTCCACACCGAAAAAGGACTCCATCGTAAAAAATAATCCACGCTGAACTTGATTCCAATTCGATTAGCAGGTACAAGTTATTCAATCGTGTCCACCAGATGTCCCTTTGTGTGCCAATCTAAATATGAGATGAGTGGTACTCAGTTGGCCTTCAATGTCCTGTGGCTTGTAGGTTAGGATTCGCTTCATTTTGACGAAAAAAATGAAGTGAACACAGAAAAGAGGAAGTACAGAAAAGATAAAAATAGCAGTACTCTCAAAAGTCGAAACTAGGATCATATGTAAGCCAAGAAAAAAAGAAACAGGTGACAGTTGCCGTGAGACAACGACCCTAAAGGAGTCGCTGCGACAGAGATCAAACGAACGCCCAAACATTGTGTGTAGGGATGTGTTTTTTTTTATAGCATCGGTTGTTGGGAACTTCATTGAATCAAGGAGAATCATACTCACGAAGACACGCTCGTTATTCTCCAACTGTGACATGAAACACCATACCAGAATTAGAGACATGAACCAGCCTCATCTGTAGGTGTATAGTCAAAATGATGAAGGCAATCACAACACAAAGATAAAGAGAAGCAATGGCCCTTTCACTATGGGGCCCACTAAAAGAAACTACACAAAAAAAAGCTGCTAAAAAATTCTTGCCCAATCCTGCAATGGTATCCACTCTCCCTGCATGTACCTCAACCTCCGCGTCGGTGCACAATCTGGGCACGCCTTCCCACAAACCCTCTAGTCAACCGTGCGTTACATTTCAATAATGATGGGAATGGCGATCATGATGGCTTCGCTCCCCCCCTTTCGCGTTGCTTGTAGGGATTTTAGAGGGCAGAGGGATGGGCACGGGGACGGGCACTGCCACCGGATGCGGGGCGGCCTCAAATCCCCTCGTCGCCACATGCGACCCCCTCCCTGCCGGCTGCGGGGTCGGCACGGCGAGGCCGGCCGGGGGGGAGTAGGAGGGAGAGAAAGAGGGAGAAACGGAGGGGGAGGGAGAGGAGGAGGGCACCGGTAGGGGTACGGGGAGCGGCACTGCCTGCGAGGAGGATGGGGTCGGGCGAGGCAGGGGGCAAACCTCCTCGTTGGGGATCGAGCAGAAGGATTGCACCGGGATGGGGATGTCCATGCTGGAGGTGGTGGAAACCTCCCAGGCGTTTGTCACCGGTGCTGCGGAGACGACCGTGGCGGTGGGGACGGGCAGGCACTTGGGCATGCCCACAGCGCTGGTGACGGCGGACTTGGCGGGATTGAACGACAACGGCAAGGGGGCCTCCGCGGCTGCCACGCCACCCCCCGGCACCCCGAGCATTGGTTTTGCCACCGCTTCCGAACCCAACGGGGTGGAAGCGGGCCAACCCTGGGAAGGGGAAGGCGATACGGTCAACGGTGCGCTAGCTTCATAGATAGAAAGAGGCGTTGAACGCATAGAGGGCTCCAACGAGGCAGTAAACACTGGCTGAGGAGGAGGCACTTCTGGTGGTGATATGAAGGGGGGGGAAGCGGCACCAGGGTAGAAACCACGACCCGCACTGGCCACAGGTGGTTCTTGTTCAACTATCAGCCGATTGGCGACACCTTCAAGTGGCCCCTGCACCTCTCTAGTCGTATGCTCAATACTTCCTTTGCTTTCGTGCGGGGCTGACTTCGACTTGTCATCATACGTGAGGGTGGTCCGTAATTGAGTCCCCTGATTCTGGAGAGCCAGCTCCATCTCACGCTTCTCCCCCAGAAGACGAACTATCCGGGCATTGGCCTCAGCCAGCTCGTCCTCGCAGCTCTTGATACGCTTCTGTAGATTCGACACCGTTTGCTCGTGGCGCCGTTGAAGCTCTTCGTGAGTGGACTTCCACTCCTCCTGTGCTCGCCTGCCCGCCTCGATATCGAGGCGGGCCTGAATGATTTCCGCCTCTCTCTCAGAAAGCTGTCGCTTTAAGAGCTGTGTCGACTCGCTCACGGAAAGCTTCGAGTGTGAAACCTCATCCTGCAGCGTGTGGTTGAAACTCTTCGCCTGTGAGAGGTCGCTACGCAGTTTTTGGAGCTCTTTCTCCTTCGCCTCTAGCGTGAGCTTCTGCCGCTGTTGTAGTTGTGCGCGATCGGCCTCAAAGGATGCCTGGAGGCGCTCGTAGGAGGCCTTCGCCTCTTGCAGCTCGTGATCTATCGCTGCCTTCGCGTCGATCTCATGCTGCAGAGTCTGGACTAGTGCGTTTCGCTCGGCTAGCTGCTTCTCTCGCTCCCGAAGCTCCGCAGATGCGGTCTCGCCTTCCCGCTGTGATAACTCCAGCCGCCGCTGAAGCCCTGATATATTAGCCTCTAATGACTTGATGGTCTTGTTGAGCTGACGCTGTTCGTCACCCCATTGGTGGCGCTCGTTCTCGTGCTGCTCAGCCAACTGGCGAATCTTGACCTCCACGCTCTGCGTATGCTGGGAATGAGCAGTTTCCTGCATGTCGTGAATCTGCCGGCGAAGACGGCTCAGCTCCTCCGCATGCTCCTCGCTCTGCAAAGCCGATCGACTCTTGAGCTGTTGATTCTCGTGACGGAGATCGGCAATAGTGTCCTCATTCGACTTGTTACGAAGCATATGCTCGTTTTGAAGTGTTTGAAGGGTGGCGAGGTGGGCATCCGCACGCTCATCAGCCTCGCGCAGACGACGCTCAAGACGACTCTTGCGCTCCTCGAGCTCCTGATTAGCCTGTCGCAGGGCCCTGATGTCCTCCTTGAGGTGTGCGCTTTCCTGGAGGCCATAGGGGTCCACACCACTCCCACTCCCCATTCTTAGAGTGGTCTTCGCTTTTTCCTGGTGAAGCTCCTGCGAGGTCTGAGCCAGACGCCTCTCCAAGCCCGTGATCTCCTCTAGCTTTGCTTGCAACTGCATGCTATGGTGGCTCTTGAGCTCGGCAATGCGGGAGTCGTGCTCAGCTCGAACGCGGTCCCGCTCCGCTGCAAAGGAGCGCAGCATGCTGGCCTTGTCCTCCTCGTACTGCCTCTGAAGTTCGGACACGAAGGAGCGTTGTGTCTCAAGTAATTCCTTTGATGCCGCGGACTCCCCGCTCGGTCGCTGTTGGTGCTCGTGATGGATGGCATCCACCTCGCTCAGCAGACGGACCAGCTGATGGCGGGCCTCGGAGAGCTGTTGATCACATAACGCAAGACGCTGCCGGTCCTGGCTGAGCTGCTGCTGTAGCCCAGCAAGCTCCCCCAAGCGGGCGGCCTCCATAGACTCCACCTTCTGTAACCATTCCTTCTCGTGCGCTCGTAGCGCGCTTTGATAGGACTCCTCTCGAGCGCTAAGCTCCTCCTTCATTTTACGGATCAGGGTTTCCTGGACCTCCTTCGCCGTCGCCTCAAAAAGCTTGCTGATATCCTCGGAGTTCACTCGTGAAGCCTCCCGGACCTCTGCCTGCTCCTTGAGATACTGGAGCTGACGCTGATACCGCAGCTCGCGGCGGCGCTCCTCCTCCTCCCACTGCTTTTGTCTCAGCACCTCAATCTCCTTTGCCCTCTCCTGCTTCCACTCCTCCAGCTCGCGTTCGCGCTGTAAAAGGCGCTCTTGCTGCGTCTCAATCCGCTTTGTGCGTTCTCTTTCCACTTCAGCGGCAGCTTCTATGAGAAGGCGACGCTCCTCAGCATCATCGTCGCGGCGTTGCTGCTCATAACGAATTCGCATTCGCTCCTCTCCCTCCTCCATTAGACGATGAAATTCGCTGCGAAGCTCGGCTTCTCTTCGAATAAGAGAAGCCTCGTGCTGGCGAGAAAATCGATCCTCAAGGTCGTATCCATGAAGAAGATCACTTTTGACGCCATTGGCAGCTCCAGGTGTAGAATCAGTCCACGCACGACTAAAGGTACCACCTTTCGCAACTGAGAAGCCTGAAAATGCAGCACCAAGATGCTCATAAGATAGAGGAGGAGAAGAGATGAAATGTCCTCCAGTTAAAGGTGCATATACATTGGGGTCAACGTACTGGGTATCGTAATGTTGAACCAGTGGCGGCATCGCGGCGGAGAATAGGGCTCTAGATCTAGTCTTTAATGCTGTGTAATCTACAGACATCACGTAAAATACTTTCCCCCCTTAGCTTCTTCCTATTTCTGACAATTGACAAAATGGTATTCTATTATCTTGTTTGATATATATATATATATATATATCACAAGTGTTTAAGTTGTGTATGAAAAGGGAATAAAGTGAATTCCCTTCACACGTATCCTTGCTCATTAAAACGCATTTTAGAGTAGAAAAAAAAAGAGGAGACAATGAAAAACATGAGTAAAAGGAACCTATTAGTAAATGCGCCATTTAAGGTGATACTTAAGAAACTCGTCCTATCTTCCATCCCTGACCACAGAACCTTAATGAATCCATATATATATATATATACGGTCAATTGCTCCTCATATTGATGCTATTCATTATTCTGTCCATAATGGTTGAATATTTTTAAATGTTTCACAGGTGCACAAACGATCCAGAACCGAAAAAAAGAACGCCCTTTGCCCAACCTCCTCAAAACGAATTAATGAAACAGGTGCCTTCAAAAAGAAAGCCAATTTGAGACATAGACAAAAATTAACTTCTACATATTGTGGTTGTTTTTTGATAATTTACATAAAAATATGCAATGTTATAGCATAGATATACAGAAAGATAACAATGAATAGTTCAGTGTCTGACGAGTATATTCCATTCCCCTCGTTACCCTTTTCCCTTTTGGAGAATCTTCGCCCACGCAATGCCCCCTTATTTACCTCCCCTCTGGTCTTCTCCATTCGGTGGGATTACCCGAAGCCAAGGACACACCACCATCACGACATCGTTTAGCTTCCTCGTTTGAGGTCTTTTTCATCGCGAACAAAGTGTAAACAATAAAAAGCACATGTGTAAAAAACCAAAGGTAGTGTTTAAAGTCATCTGTAAGGGCATGTAAAAGGTTTCCACATTAATAAAAATATTTTGAGTGCACATAAATAAAATTTCACATTGAAAACAGACCATCAAACCTCACTTCCACCACCCCTCCCTCAGCGAATGCGCACACTTAAAGAACGTCTCTTCAACGCGCCTATGGTAATCATTCAGAATTGAATCCACCCTGCTCTACGACGCGTGCGTGCGGTGCCGGATATCATCGAATTGAGTGACCAAGTTCAGTGCCTCGTTAAATACGCTCGTCGCTTGCTCCTCTAAGCTGGCCCCATTCGTGGCGTGATCTGAGGGATGTCCAGAAGTATGGCCCTCTGCCATCGCCGCTGCACTGGTCGCGCCTCCATCCCCGCGGAGACGCGTCAGCTCCGCCTCAGTCATCCTGAGGTCACTCTCACAATTGTCCACGGACGCCCCCAGCGTCCGCAGGCCTCGCTGCAGGCCCGAGCACATCAGGGTGTAGAACCGGCTCAGGCTTGAGGCGTGCCCCTCGCGCTCATACCGCATCCAGCAGTGGAACGGGAGGCTCAGCAGGGACTCATCCCAGACGTCCAGCAGGATCCAGCAGGCCGGCCGCTCGAGGAACGCCCCTTCGGCCTGCAGCTCCGCCGGGAGCCCCTGACGCCACTCGAGCAGCCGCCCCCGACGGGCCTCCCGTGCGGCATCGACGGTGCCCCCCTTGTCCTTCCCCCCCTTCCCCGACGCCGCGCAGGGCGGCCCCACCCGCGTGATCATCCCGGAGGCGTCCCCGAGGCTGATGAGGGGGGAGCCGCCGTCGCTGGGGGGCCCCCCACCCCCGCCGAGGTCGGGGCAGACCGGATGGAAGGGGTCGCGGGGTTCCATCGAG